GCGTGTTTGAATAACACCGTGCAAGATTTCATGAGCAGTTTCATCCGTATCCAGCCCTTAATTTTGTCCCGCGTGCGGTCTTTTGAAAGCTACCCTGCCCATGTCAGTTAGCACCAAGTTCACTCTGCGGCTGGGCCGTTTCTAGGCTCCGGTTTACGGCAGAGCCATCGGCCTTTGCTGCGTGGCAAGCTTCGCTGGCAAGCACTGCCGGTCAGGGCCTCCATGCCGCCGCCATACCGGGCGCCCGTCACCGAGCCGTGCGTCCACTGCGGCCGGCCGTTCGCGGCCGGCCGGCGGCAGGAGCACGAGGCCATCTGCGGCCGGCTGGCGCACCGGCGGCGGACCACCTTCGACTCGCGCCAGCACCGTCTGGCCGGCACTGAGCATGGTCCGCTGTTCCGCCGGGCGCAGCACCAGCCCGAGCCGGTAAACGAGGCGCACCCCGCCGGGCCGCCACGCCGGCTCTCATAGCCAGCACACAGGCGTCGCGCTCTTGCCGTCCGTCTCTCGCCTTGCACCCCCGTAGGCCAAGGGTCGAAACGGGTGAATTTTACAGCGCATGGCCGGTGGTAGTCTCGTCATTTGACTGTAACTTAAACCTCGCGAGCCTTGTTTCCTAAATCAAGCATTGCATTCATGTCCTGTCGTATAACTCAGGGGACGTGCGGGTATTGCCACAGCAGCGTGTGTTTTCCGGTGTTTTTGACTTTTGACTTCTCGACGTCATACTTCATACGTCCGAGCGTTCTGTTGCGACCCGCACTGCCGTGCTGATCCGACCTACCCTGTGTTTGCCGGCAGCCGGTGCGGGAAAACAGGTGGCGCCAGCGGCACGAAGAGTTCATTGGCGCCATCCGCGCCGCCAAGCAAGTGCAGCGCCACCTGGCGGCCGGAGGTCGCCTGCAGGACCTGCCGCCGCCGCCGCCCTCCGACTACTCTGACTACGTTCAGTGTCCGTACTGCTCACGCAAGTTCAATGAGGCCGCCGCCGAGCGGCACATACCGCGCTGTCAGTTCTACGAGCACAACAAGCCGGGCCCGTCGGGCGCAGGCAGCGGTCGCCAGTCTGGCCCGAGTCGGTCGCCCCAGCCCAGCGGTCGCCACCCCGGCCCGAGCCGGTCGCCACAGCCCAGCGCTCGCCAAGGTCCGGCCAGACCACCGCATGTTGGCAGCCAGCCAACTCCGGCCCGGTCACCCCGGCCCAACAACCGTCCCGGCCCAACTAAAGCGACCGTCAGACGCGCACCAAGAGGAAAGTAACTGTCGACGATAGACCCCAGATACACAGACTGCTGGTAACTGTGTCGTCCAAAATATACCTGTAGTAATGCCTTTGTGTGAATAGGGTATATGAAAGATCCAAGTGTTCACTGGTATATTCAGTGTGTATAGTACCTTGATTGTAAATATTATAAACTGATCCCACGTCAATTATGAATTTTATCAGGCGGTGCGCGCCAGCCACACGCCCTCAACATCAGTATAGTTAAAAAGGTTAGGCTATGCTCTAAATGAGTAAAGTCAATCCCAGCATGTGTGATGGCAATGACCATCGCTGGTTGATGGGTGAATATTGGTGTGAGCATGCATGGGGATATTTCTCACCACGGGCAGCCACCTTCCTCCCCCCGCCCCTCCCGCAGCACCGCCTCCATTCTGCTTAGAGCAAAACGGCCCGTTTTGTTTTCAGTGGTCTGCAAGGAGGCCCCCTGCTGAAAAGCGAAAGAACTCCCAACCTGCAAATAAATGAAACAATCAGGCATCGTGAACTAACGAAGGCAGAGACTTACTTCATCGCAAAACATCGTTTTTTATTTGACTTTGGCCTTTTGCTTTGCATCCCTCTGGCCTTCATTCACTTTTACTTTTTACTGCTTGACTTTTTCACATTTGAGTTCTTGACCTCTGACTTCTTGAATTTTATCATCGTGTCCAGTTGCGAACTTCAGCTTCTAGGGCGACCGCAATGTCTGGTCCGTCCGACACGAAAAGCCCAGCTGTCAGCTGCCACGAAGTGCCAACCTTAGGTCGACCGAGACGCGGTATGGCAGCGCCGCAGCGTTGTGCGGCACGGAAAACTTTGCAGTGCGGTCTGCCGAAGCGCGAAAGCAGAATTATCCTACGAACTGGTGTGAAGATATTGCGTCTTTGGCTAGCGCGCCGCGCCAGCCGTCACCGTGACAAAGCACGCTGCACCAATTGGCCACATTGGTGCGTCGTGGTTCAGCACCATGCACTCTTGCTCCGCCTACCACGCGGTACGGGTACGCGGGCCCGGGAGAGTTCGTTTAGCGTTCGCCGAAGAGCAGCCCAGGCACAGCGCACCAGGAAGGGAAATATATCGTCATGACACCTGTATATTACGTCGGTCCTATGCTCCAATGCTATTCGAATTTAAGAAATGCGCTCTTGCCATGAACACAAACGCTGGCTTTTAGCATTATGCCTAGGCAAGAGTGCAGTGCCCACTAACATATGAATTACTGGACAAAATGCAGCGTGAAGCTTATTTGAAAGCACTTGAAGGATTTACCCGTTAAAGCCGTGGCGTCCCGCTATCTTTGGCCCATTGCCACGGTATCTACATCAGAGGCCAAGGTAGGGGCTGCCCCGAACAGCCGAGCTCCGCGGCTTACATTGGGCTCGCACCGGAGTGAATCAAACATTTCCATTGCGGTTTACTGTTCGTGCATGCGCATGAGTGCTCATGAGTATGCGTGTGCATGTTCGTATGTGTGCGACCGGTCCCGGCTTTCCGTACCGACTCGACCGACAGCCAGCACCGCCGGCTAGCGCGAGATCTCCTAATCAGCTGGTCATTAGTGCCAACTGCCGAGCGCAGCTAGGGCCCGTCCTATAATGCGTCAACACGGCAGCCCGTCTCCTGTTCCGACCGTCTGTACACATGCTTCCATTCATGGGTTAGAAAGAAATAACTGATGCTCGGATGATTAGCTGAGGCGAGCTGAGGCCACGCTCACCAGTTGCATCATGACTTTCTGTTTTAAGACGGTAAATGCCTCAGCAAGTGCTCGCGCGCGTGATAGTGGGGTAAGTGACCATAGTTGCAGAGAAAACCTTCGCACAAAAGCTCCATATGAGTGCAATATGGCGCTTCAAAAACAGTATCTGGCGCAGCTTGTGTAAATTATGTAACGTGTGCATGGATTGGTTTACGACAATTATTTATTGGTGGTCCAGGGCACCGCCTCATTGGTGCCGGGTGTGCGTTTTTAGGGGTATGCACATAACCGCACACCGGGCCTCACCTCCACTTTTTGTTTTTGTTCTTGTGATGTGCATAATGTGCTTTGTGTGTTAGCCATTCGCTCATGTCTTGGTTTTTAAACATTGCTTTTGCGCCGCAATACATACTATGTTGGAATTTTGCAGCATATACAAATAAACATATTTTACACGTCTATTTGAAAATCTAAAGGCTGCTGTGGGAAATTGTTGATTATGGCATGCTGTATGGGAGGAAAATGTGGCTGTGTAGGTACTACATATACATTCAGGGTCAATCACTGTTCTGAGCTCCCATTTTTACAATATGTCTAGAGTTGTCTGAATTTCATATTTTGCAATTTTTATTCCACTTTGTATTGTGGTGCAAGTCTTTTATGGAAAAGTAGGAGCCAGGGCATGGCTACTGTCCATTCTCAAAGGATGTAAAATAATAACCAAGTAAATCTGCTAGGGATTCATACAGGTCTGTCACTGGGCTGCAAAAATGTGTCACACCTGCATGACATAATTCAGTTAAACCTTGCTCTCATTTGTGTCAAACTGAGGGCAGGCAAAGTTGTGCCCAATTTGTGAATGCTTTCTTCCAAAGTTACCCACTTAACATTATACTTCCTTGAAACATTGTCTCTCTGCAATTAGTGGCAATTTGAACCATTTGTCAGACTTGGAGTGCTTTGTTTTGCTATGTTTTTACCAAGATACTTCTAGGTAGGATTTACAGCATGCATGTCCTAAATGGTTGATGTGGTTGTTGCTACATTGAACATGCCTGGATGCTCAACATACATGCACAGATATTGTTGCTAACTTTGCTGCTCAGCATTTTTTTTTTTGGCAGTGTGGGTTCTGGGCAGCAACCACATCCTGCTGATATTTCAGCCCATGTAAGCCATAGATCTGAGCACCTAGAGTTTGGTGCATGGATGCCATCCATTTCAGCACGTAGGCTGAAATATCATAGCAGGTGTTTAACTTTTAGCTACAATGTCATGCTGTTATTATGACTTCGCAGTGTCACTTAATAGCATTGTGAGCAAGGACTATGGTATGGAAGGTTCACATGAGGTTAACTTGTCCCGATAAGATTTAACTGTGTGAATCAACAGAGGACTATGATCTGGAAGGTTCACATATGGTTCACTTGTCTTGATCAAATTTAACTTTGTTAATTAACCTTCAGCTTTTTAATTATGAACTGTAACATGGTGTGACTGGAAGCCTGAAGTTAACCACAAGGCCTTGTTTCTTCACCAACAAGAATATTTGGATTTCTCAATGTTGGCCATAGTTGTTAGTACCTGCCATGTTAGAGAACATCATAGCATTAGCAGATCCACCTGAAGAAATATGTGCAGGCCAGATCCAAGCTATTCAAGAGGACTGCTGCTCTGAGGGATGCCATTTTTGCCTATGACAGGCCACCATGGTCTAGATGGGCACTGAAATAGAACAAGCTATTGCATTTTGCTGCAAATTTCAGCTGTATGGGTAGCTTACTTGTTTTAGGGCATCTGAGCATCATGTGGCACCCTTTGAGCACTCAGGAGCACTTGTTTGCTGCCCTACTTACATGACAGACATCCTTGTGCATTTAGTGATGGGAAGCCAATTTTTGTCAGGGGTGCTTCTGCCTCCCCCTCCCCCAGATTCATTTATACAATTGTGTGCTATGAACAACTAATACCATGTCATGTGTCTTTTCCCACAGCACATTTCTACCAGTTAGTTTGCAGCTGCACTGGTGTTTACCATGAGCTGAATGTTACCAAACAAGGGTCTGCAGTGTCTTCACATCTGGGGAGGCAGCTGGTTTTCTTATGCACACACCCTCTCCAAAACAGAAGATGGCAGCCTTCTTGTGGGTATGTGGCATGGTGAACTCAAACAAGCTGCTGTGAATATGTCAGCATTGTGTTCTTGCATGGGTGCACTTGGCACAATTTTGCTAAAGAATCTTCTATTATGTAGTTATTCTGTGTTGCATTATAAAAAACCTGAATCTCTCTTTTCTGTGTTGTGTAAGTCACCTACAAATCATTTATAAGGGGACAATTCATCATTTTGAAACTTGCTGCCAAGTCATGAGATGCTGGCCAAGCTGGGATGTGGTGCTAAGCAGCATGATGATATCTTAACCAGCCTGGATGCTATAGCTAATATAGCTATAAAACCTGCTTTGCTATGCATATTGCGGATTATCCCAGGGAACCTGAGATTGGCCTTTTAAAAATGCTAAGTAAAGACTTGGTTTTACACAAAATCCGTTTTTGGTTTGTTGGCTGATGTGCCCTGGTCAGAGATCCATTTTTGGAATCCAACATGTCTGCTGTTATGTGCTTGGTCGTGACGTGCGGCACACTCTGCCGTTTTCCCAGACGGCGCCGTGCTGGCTGATGCCGCGGCGCGGTATGGCCAGCGGGCCGCGCAGCCTCTACGACGCGCTGGGCGTCACGCCGCGGGCTTCCTCCAAGCAGATCAAGGCCGCCTACTTCAGGCTCTCCAAAAAGCACCATCCGGATCGGAGCAGCGGCGACTCGCTCAAGTTCCAGGAGATCAGCGCCGCGTACGAGGTGCTGGGCAGCCGACAGAAGCGGCGCATCTACGACAGTGGCCTGGCCGGCGGCGCCGCTGGCGACGAGCCGGCCAGGCGGCAGCCGCGCGCCGCGCACGCCGGCCGCGGCGCCCCCTTCACCGGGCGCACCGACCACTTCCACTACGACGCCTGGTCCCAGGTGAGCGGCGGCACGCCGGGCCCGTGCGCCCAGCGTCGGGGAGGGGGAGGGAGGGTGTCGGCTTTGCCTGCCGTCCGATGTTTCAGGAGGAACGTGGTGCGGGAGTGTCCGCCTCCAGTGAGAGGTCAATCGACCACGTTCCCATTTCATTGGCTCGTCAGGCGTCTTCGAACTGAGCGACCATGGTTGGGAGTCCTCCAGAAAGGGGTAGGATCCCGTAAGTTGGACAAAAGCTAACGTTGGACCCGCGGTGTATGCTAGAAATTGGTGATCCAGGAAGGCCCTGCGCTCCCCTCCGCTCAGCACAGACAACTTTGGCCCTGTCCCGACATTGAGCGCGCCCGGCGGTCTCCAGCTGGCCGGCCCCCTGACGCCGTGGGTGGGTCAGCCTCCTGTCAGGCGGTCCCCTGACGCCATGGGTGGGTCAGCCTTCTGTCAGGCGGTCCCCTGACGCCGTGCGTTTGTCAGCCTCCTGTCAGGCGGTCCCCTGACGCCGTGCGTGTGTCCGTCTCCTGCTGGGCGGTCCCCCGACGCCGTGTGTGGGTCCGTCTCCTGTCAGGCGGTCCTCTGACCCGCTGCGTATCCCGCAGGCTCACTATGCCGACTTGCGCTGGCGGGAGAGGAACGCGCGCGACGCGTATGCCAAGGCTGCCGAGAAGCGCCGGGACCGACGCAACGAGCGCACACGAGGCTTCGTCGGCTGCTTCCTGCTGTTGGCCTTCACTGGCTACCTGCTGCTGACGGAGCAGAGCCCGAGGGGCAACCGAACCGGCGCCGAGCGGCCGGCCCGGCCGCCCAGCTAGCGCTGCCCGGCCGGCTAGGGGCACAGCTGTTAGCCTGTCGCCCGGGCGGAGCGGAGCGCGACGGCGCCGGAGCACCCCCACGCTCACGCCACACGCCCGATCGAGTGAGTGAGGTAGCGCTTCAGTAATGCAGATGGGTAATGCCTAAACCGTGAAGCAGCCAGAAAGTAAAAAATTCAAAATAGAATATGGTATCGGTAAATTGAGTGCGTCCGTATTTTCTGCTATAGCCGGCTGCTGAGTTAGGCATTCAACGGAAGGATGTTCGGATGGCATTCTCAGGTCTACAATTATTTTGGGCTAGCCGACGGGGAAAGAGCCATGCTTGTTACACTGGCGTGATTGGTCGATCTAGACGCGGGTGCCGTTTTATCAGGTTACTGATATTCGTTGGAACATCAGAGGCGTGGATGTAATTGTGCAATATCGAAATATAGCCGCTCTCATGGAGGCGTCAACATGGCCCTGTCGTTTTAGTTGTATTCTGTCACACTGCATATCTGTATTAGTTAACATACGACATTCTAACACCAGCGGAAGAGACATCACGGGCAGTAAACGGAGTCCCCCATACATGGTTAAATGCCGTCCAGACCACCCGCATCGTGCCCGCCGATTTTCCATCGTAGCTGTGTGTCACGTCCCGCCCTGGCGCGCTCCGGACTTATCCGCTTGCACAGGACAGGCAATCACAGGTGCATCAGCCGGCCGGCCGGCGGGGCGGACTGTGCGCCGGGCGGCACCGGCGGCCCGCTCTCAGTACCGACCGCGGCAGCGGCATGCCGCCCGGCATGTACGGGTAGGGCAGCGCCGGCCCGGCCGGCTGGTAGCCGCCGGCCGGCGGGTACGGCACGCCAGGTAAGGGTGGCGGCGCCGTACGGCGAGGGCGCCGGCGCCGGCGGGTACGGCGTGGCGACGGGCGGCGGCCCGCTGCTGGCCGGCAGCTGGTACCCGCCCCCGCCGCCGCCCTGCGAGCGCACCAACTCCTTCAGCTTGTCGGTCTTCACCCGCCGTGCGATGGCTACGCGCCGCTTCGGCAGGTACAGCTCCAGGAAGTTGTCCAGCGACATCTCGCCGTTTAGCATGGACTGCACCAGATTCTGGAAGCCGGGATACATTCCACTCAGTTGTAGAGCAGTTTTATTGCCACCAAATATACATTATTAACTAGAGTTCTACCGAGCTCTTCCGTCAGTT